CACCTTTTTCCACCCTGCACTGTGAATGTTTACATGGTGTGTTCAATAAAAACATAAAAACATATAATTGTTTGTGTGGTTTTAGCTTAAGCAGACTGTGTTTGTCTATTGTTGTGACTTAGATGAAGATCAGAACACATTTTATGACCAATTTATGCAGAAATCCAGGTAGTTCCAAAGGGTTCACATACTTTTTCTTGCAACTGTACTTGTATTTTACCCAAGTGCTTTTATTTTATACTACTTTAGAATGGTACTTGACTACCTTTTGAACTTTTTACTCCACTATATTTGTTTTACAGATATATTTGCTATAATTGCTTTATACATTCTGAATTTGAACCCCAAAATTAGTTTAAAATATGATTATTTGGTATAGATTAAACCATCTAAAATTATATTTAATTAACTAAAACCATGAGTGATTAACAGAAAATAAATTGGATTTATTTTTATATTTTTGCTTTAAAATATTCTTAAGTATTTGAATATTTTTGAGTTTTTTCTGCATGAGTAATTTACTCCTAATACTTTAAGTTCACTTTCCTATTTGTATTTAAATACTTTTACTTAAGTACCATTCTCCACCACTGTCCTCTAGTGTCAACAGGTGGGGCTATAATAAGATAACATTATGCTTTCTTTTTTTCCGGTCAGAGTGGCAGAGATAAAACATTGCACATGAATGAATATAATCAGCTCTTAAATCAAACTTTAGTTCCACCTGGAGTCAATTCACAAGCTACCCTGCAGCATACAAAGTAATTCAAACTACCTGCACCTTTACCAGCTTTGATAACACTTTAATGATCATTGATCAACCATTATAAAACACATCATATATATTATTCTGAAATGGACCAATCTGCAGAATGACTACTTTTACTTTTTGTACTTGAAGTATATTTTGATGCTGATACTTTTTCACTTTTACTTGAGTAACATTTTGAATGCAGGACTTTTACTTGAAACCGAGTATTCCTACACTCTGGTACAAGACCTGAGTACTTCTCCCACCTCTGGTTATGAAGGATAACTATCTATAGAGTATACTCACTGGCCAGAGTGCCCCCCCACCACACCACATCTGTGAGGTACGACCCCCCTGAGGAAAACACAGAAACACGTTTTATGAACAGATTTGATGGTGTTATTTTCATAGAGAAAGCTAGATATGTATCCATGCATGTCTCCCACACAGAAATCTAATTATCTTCTTCATTATACCTTTGTCTCTGGAGCGTAATATCCCCTTCTTCTGCAGCACAAAGGTGGAGCCATTGATGAAACTCGACACCACTGCTATCAGTATTCCAGAGACAGGGAAAGAGACACCGCTCTGCTCCGAGTCTGGAGACATTATTCACTTTTATTTACTTTATTCTAACATTAACTGAGGAATGACTGAAGCTCCTCTCCACGGGTTGGGAGTTTGGACCCGGAAGTGACACACTGCGCATGTGCAGTTTCTCAAGCACCCGGCTGCACCATCCCATACTGTACTTTAAAATGTAAATAAATACATTTAAAAATAGATGAATACAAAGATATATACATAAATAAATACAAATTAATACAAATAACTGGATAAATAAAATGTACTTTGAAATGTTGACACATAAAAAAAAATGGTGTCTAAAAGCATTTCAATGTTATATAAAAAATAATCAAATATGTAAATTATTTATTTATTTACATGCTTTCAAATGTTGTGACCCAGTTGATAGTACAAGTGCTCAGACAATGTAGAAAGCAAAACATTGAACTTACTAACTGTATTCAGGGTTATTTAAAATAAGAGAGGGCAAAACATTTAAATAAATTGGTATACTTGGTATTTATAAAAATCAGAGATAAAGAATGTAGAAAAAAATACAATATTGAATCCTATAAAATAAGTCACTCATTAGCTAAATAAAACATATGCAAAAAATAAATACACTATAATTAAATAAACATCCTAACGTATAGGATAATATATAACTCTGTAGCATACTGAAACAAATGGGAAATAAATACTCTATAATTAAGTAAACAAATTGAAATCTATGAAATATGAAACCCTGTAGCTAAGGAAAATGTTATTGAAATATAAACACTAAATAAATAAAAATAATAAGTAAAACGATATGCTATATGTTACTCTGTGGCCTGAATAAATATCTAAAAATATATTAAACGTGTGACTTTGTGGCTAAATAAGACTGATGTGAAATAAACACTAAATTCCTTAAGACACAGCGCCACCTAGCAGACATTTTCCATCAGTCTTCAAGCCAACCCCGCCCCTCCTAAGTCCCGCCTCCATTAACAAAAAGCGCTCGATTTATAACCAATACCGGTACGAGAGGGCGGAGTAGACTCAGTGCCCAACGGATTCAAATCCCGCCTCTCAACGGGCTGTTGCGGTGAGCAAATCCATTGCACTATAGCTCCCCGTTTACCTTATACGTCATTTGTTTCCATGCCTCGTGCCCCTGTCTGCGATCTGTCAATCATGTCCATTATGAACGTCTTGTTAATGCAGCAAAGCAGCTGAAGGGACGAGAATAGCTTGAGAAGACACCGCAGGTAATCTACAAATGTGTTGTTTATATTGACATGTTGCCCATTGTGTTGCTAGAGTTGATCTCATTTGGTTCAGTGTCATATTAGAAGCGTCATCACCTTAGCCTGGATGATGTTCTAACGGTATTAGCTGCAAGCTAACTGGTTAGCCTTGAGCTATAAGCTAATGTGAACTAGCATTATGTGTTGCGTTATTATGAGTTCATGCTGTGTCAGTGTGTGTTATTACCTGTAGGACTTGCGTCTGTTATCCTATATTAACACCATGTTGCATTCACAGTATCAAGGTTAACAGAGACTGTGCCCTTGCTAGCATTTAAGCTATGATGGTCTCGTTTTTGTATACATTGGATACATACAACTAGCATTATGTGATATTATGAGCCTGTTCATTCAGAATTCCTTTATTTGGGAAATCTACATTATTACAACAGCAGAAGTATAGTGTAGATAAAGTGAAGAGAAAATACTTGCATATCAAAATGTATTAAGTATGTACAAGCTATTTATAATAAAAAAACACAATAAGTATATATTAGCGGATAAGCACACCATGGTAAAAAGTATTGAGAGAAAATAAAGGGTATATTGCACATGAGTGTATGTTGCACACACATGCTGTGTCAGTGTGTGTCATTACCTGCAGGACCAGTGTCTGATATCCTATATTAACACCATGTTATATTCACAGTATCAATGCTAACAGACAGTAGACGGCAGATCATATCTGACTCTGTAGGCTATCAATAATATGGGTCAAAATGTAGGTCAAATAAATACACACACAAGTACAGTTTAACAAACATCCCAAATTATATGAAATGTATAACAATGTAGCTAAAGAAAAGCTAAGCCACATATATAGACTAAATAAACATTTACGAACAAAAACATATCTGGCCTTTAACTATAAGAGTGAATTATGTAAATGAAGCCAATGTGTGATTCTTTATTGATGTCACTATTGAAGAATCAATAGAAGAGTTGGAGAGGTTGATCCTGATGAGTATACCGTTAGATCGTTTTGTGTTCAACAGATACATTCATATAAAACTCAGCTATATTCAGATGTAGTTTCTGTATTAAAAGTAAGATTGTTTATTTTAGACTTGGCATTTAAATGGGAGTGATTCAGCCATGTGTTTTTCTATCTGTTTACATGTGGGTTATAATATTATGGGTCATGCTGAATTTTCACAGACTGTTTTAAATTCATTTGTTTGAGATAATCTTTGTGTCAGTTTTAATCTTAAAACCGATAAGGTGTTGCTAAGAAATGTGTGCCCAAAGACTAAGTAGATTAGATTAAGCAGGATAAGTGACAATTAAATCAAGTTTGTTTGGATTGGTTTTAAGTCCTAAAATCTGGTACTGACATTCTTTGTGAAAATATCTAACAGTACAACTTTTAACATCACATATAAATAATCAGATTGCTCTGAAGATGGGAGGTGATATTCTATAAGTGTTCACGTTCACAAAGTCTGTGATTTTTGCAGGCCGTCTTTCCTGCAACGGCAGTTTAAACTGTATTTCCTTTCTCCTGTAATATGACTTGATCGCTTTAAACTCTGCACACTGAGCTCTGATTGGTCAGCAGGCGGTGCTTTCCTCCTTCGACAATCTCTGTTGCAGCAGCGCCAAAATATAAGGCGGTACAGTGGTTATTCTTTGTTTNCGGAGCAGGTTAGGCGCTCAGCACAAGTTACCATGGAGATCTAGCCCGCTAAGAAGAGAAACAGCGTAGTGGGACGGAAAACCCAGTGTTCCCTGAAGTTAGCCGGCTAAGAGAACATCCGGCTTCGTCGTACAGGCCTCTGCACAAAGACTACATTTAGTATGATAAGAAAAACTCTCTTCTCAGAACACTGCTGTTTCCGGCACAAATAGGTTTTATTCATTTCAAAGGAAGCTATACATATGCCAGGGTAGGAACATGCACATTTTACCCAACCTCACTTTATTATCAAGGCATTCATTCACTAAATAATGTCAGTGTATATCATCTGATTCTCCTCTCACTGTAACGTTGTACATGTGTCTCAGTTTCCAACAAGCCTCTCTTCTCTTCGTCCTGCAGGTTGGCTGCGCTGGCAGCCAGGAGAGGAGAGGGCAAGATGCCTTCTCCATCTTTCACCCTCGATGCTCAGCTGAGATTTCATGACAAATGGCTGAAGATAGACCTGCAGGTATGTGAACACTAAGGAGGAATCACAGGAAAAGAACTGCTTTTTTTTTAGATGCAGAGGACAGCATGATATTTTGAGGTTTCAGGAAATCTGCATATTATTTCTCGTCTTTGCTTCAGTTGAGAGATTGCACGTTTAATCTTTTTCTGCTTTCTAAAACCACTGGTCAGTTTATTTTGGAAGAAGCTCCCTGTGAATGTCTGTCAGTCTGCGCTGCATTGTGTTTGTGACAAAGTGTAATGATGAATCTCTATCAGCCTTAATGTCACTGATGTTTCATTTTTCCAAAGCATTGTTCTGTGACACCAGAACGTGAATGCATATCACACTAGAGCCCTGCAAGCTGCATCCAGCCTCCTGCACAGATGATGATTGTTTTCCTGTGAGATGTGTATCCTGTAATATTATAGACAGTCAGACAGGTATTAAAACGGATCTACTGTATGTTGTGGAGAACACACTAATGTTGGTTGTAATTATGAGCTCTTTTATTAATCTCAGTAAACACCACTGTCTCTTTCTACAAAACGAGTGCGGACAGATTTCTAACAGAGCTTGTCTGGACTGAAATCAGTTTTAAATTGGGTGAGGGTGTTGTTTTTCTCACAGTGCAGAAGACAGCTTCAGTTGTATGTCTCTGGTCTGGTGCCCTCTGTGAGCGAACATGTGGACATTTTAAGATATTTGATCCTTGAAAGCAGGAGTTGGCTTTCGACTCGTGAGTGTTTCT